CTTCATAAAGCTTTGGATCACTCTTAGCTTAAATATTTTCTTTTATTCTCGCATTCGTAAAGTAGGTCAGTCTTAAGTGTGACATTTTTTGTATAAAACAGCTTTTTCCAGGAGTTCTGTGGTTGATGAGTAACGGGTATAAAACTTAAGTGTTTGATCACGGCATTAAAACTCGAATTGATTTTGAGTGAAATGCCATTCTGAATCTTCCAAAGAGAATGAGCCTTGGGTCTTGTGCCTTTTAGTCACCTTCCCGGGCACCTTTATAAGAAGTGATTTCACCAGACATGGAAGAACACTGGAGGACAGGGGTATCGTTTGCTAGTGGTTTGGTTGTTAATAAAGGGACACAACAACCATAAGACTATATTTTTTCATCGGTTTATGCCAAACTTTTGTCTGTAGGTGAACCCAGGGTAGATCTTGAAGAGATCCCTGTCCTTGGGCAGAAGAGGAGTGATCGCTTTGCTTTGAAGTGCTGTCCTTTGGAAATGGCTTATCCCTTGGGGACATTTCTGAGGTACCCCAATATGAATGGGGAGGTTTCCTCTAACGCCAGATCTCTTGTACATCTCAAAAGCATCTGTCGACTGCTTTGTGCTGGGCCTTGGGTGCTTTGGGAGAGGACTCCAGATGCTAAAGAAGTCAGGTTGGCTTTTACAACCACTGTTGTGCAGGAGGATAACGTTCCATGGGCAGAGGGATCCACCACGGGCGAGCCAAGAAAATTACATTCAACGAGGGGTAACAGGTTTAAACTGAAAGAGGGGAGATTTGGATGAGATCTCAGGCAGAACTTCTTTGGTGTGAGGGTGGTGAGAGCCTGGCCCAGGTTGCCCAGAGAAGCTGTGGCTGCCCCATCCCTGGAGGGGTTCAAGGCCAGGTTGGAGGGGGCTTGGAGCAACCTGGTATGATGGGAGGTGTCCCTGCCCAGGGCAGGGAGTGGAATGGGATGGTCTTTAAGGTCTCTTCCAACCCAAACCTTTCTATGATCCAGGAGCCATGCAGAGCTTTCCAAGTGTTTTGCTGCAGCTACTGCATGTAACGTTGATGGGCCCGTGCTCTGGTTTGCCCATCCATTTCTTTAATGGAGAAGATACCAGCTTATGCCTTCCAGTTCCCTCTCCTGCTTGGATTGTAAGTGCTTCTTTTTAATCTGTGGTGAAGGGGTTTCTTGGAGAACCTTTTCCAAGCCGGTTCCCTCTCCTGCTTGGATTTTAGTAAGTGCTTATTTTTAATCTGTGGTGAAGGGGTTTCTTGGAGATAGTCCAGCCTTCTTGCAGTAAATCCAAGTTCATGAACGTAAATTTCAATGCCTACCAATCCATCTGCCATCCAGTTTTCTCTTATGTGACAGCCAATCAACCTGTAGCACTTCTTTATTTTTCTTGAAGAAAACAGGTTTCAAGGAAGGTTCCCCTCTGCAAACATCACTTCCCTGGGTTTAGTCTTCAGAAATCCCATTTTAGCTGCTGCGTGAGGAAAGATGAAACCTAATGTAGTGATCAATGAGAGATATTTTCTCCCTGTGAAGAACGAGGGAATTTTTGAAGTGATTCTGTATTTCTGAAGCACAGAGGAGGCTTTGGCTCATACATATCCCAGTGTACCCTGGATTCATAATGGTTCAGTTGCTGGCATTGCTGTTGGAGTCTCAAGATCCTGGATCTGGCTATGGCAAAGCAGCTTTATTGAAATAGCATGTTGGTATTTAAAACAATATTAATACTATATTTGATTCATTAAATATACAAAGGCGAGTTAAAGCGTTTCCATGTGTGTGCTGTTAGTTCTGGCGGGAGGTTCTTCAGATGGTTTTATGTGGTTTCAGACAACATTTTAGCACATTCTTAAAATACCCACAGAAGCCTTTATGTAAAATCTCATAAAGGTGAACCACATAAAAATTATTTTTTTCCTGTTTCATGTCATTAGGATCAAAGTACAGTAGGTAAGAATAAATTTCCAAAAACCTTGTTTCAGTCCCTCTCTTAATTAATGTTTCATGCTCGTAGCAAGCTCATAAAGTGGGTAATGGGGAAACTGTCTGTGCACACTGTAATATTCTCAGGGGCTGCCAGTTCATTTTGAGTGAATTCACTTCTCTATATGAATATTTTTTGTAAGCAGACTTGCTCTGGAAATGGACAATAGCTTCTACTCTCTGCCCTTTGATTCATGCTGCCCTTTTGTCCAAAGAAGGGTCACAGCCATTGGAACCGCGGTTCGCTGCGGGGCTGCAATTCCCATTAACTGCATTAATCAAAATCCATTTACCAATTCCCCAGGGAATATAAAAAGGGTGTTTGTTGGTTTGTTAGGTTTAATTCGCCTGCTGGAAGTCTGGTTTTAGCACACCTGTGGAGCAAAGGGCTTTGCTTTTCTAACGGGACATTATCAGTGGTTTGACAAATGCCATAGGATGGTGCTGGGGATGTTGGTTACTGAAGTGCCCACGCTGGGCTTGGTGATGAGTAGCCCGTTAAAAATAAATTGATGTGGTGAGTTAATATGAAATCATATACCCCTCCTGGCATCAGCATTGTTTATGATACAGACTCGGATGCAGTTAAAAAGAATTGGGGCTCTTCTGGTGACTCTGCCTTCTTTAAACATCACGCCGGACTGAGCTGTAAGTGTAGACAATATGTTGAAAGTTCCCTGTGTTATTGGCATTAACTTTCCAATCTCTTCTCCTGACTTCTAAAAAGGATGGGTTAGTGTTCTTGAATTTCACGGAATTTCACTGAATTTTAGAGTTGGAAGGGACCATAGAGATCATCCAGTCCAACCCCCCTGCTGAAGCAGGATTGCCCAGAGCTTGTCAGAGCATGTTACTCAGGAGCATCCAGGCGGGTCTTGAAGATCTCCAGAGAAGGGGACTCCACCCCCTCCCTGGGCAGCCTCTGCCAGGGCTCTGCCACCCTCACCGTGAAGAAGTTTCTCCTCATATTTGAGTGGAACCTCTTATGTTCCAACTTGTGCCCGTTGCCCCTCGTCCTCTCACTGGGAACCACTGAAAAGAGTCTGGCTCCCTCCTCCTTCAACCCTCCCTTGAGAGCTAATACATAAAGTCCAAAAATGCACAGTAAATCAAATCTGAAGTGCCATTAACAACTGTCGGGGGCGCGTTTAGAAAGGAGGGGAGTGGGAAGGTGGGAGGGTTCGACAACTTTTTTGTGCTGGTGATGAGTGATACTTTCCTTTCTTGCAGAAGAGGAGAAACGTGCAGTCACTTGCAGGTCTGTGCGATCGTCTCGCTCGTGACAGAGAGAGGCAGGATCATAGAATGGTTTAATCTGCGTGACTCTCGCCCATCTTAGCTGCTGGGAACTGTCAATCACTGCAGCTCCTCCTGTCTTTGGATGATGAGCTTTTGCTCTCCTCCAGACAATGAATTCTCAGGTGTTTTGTCTGCTTTATGTATGTGCTTGCAGAATGGTATTAGGTGCTCAGAACAGAATAGAAATGTCTGACTTCTAAAACATCATCTTGTTTATCTTCTGGCTCAGTTGAAGGTACCTTTCCATAGCTCTTCACAGGAGACAGTGATTCTGTGCAGCATGAGTTCTCAGCAGAGGAGGGACATGGACCTGTTGGAGTGGGGCCAGAGGAGGCCACGGAGATGCTGGGAGGGCTGGAGCCCCTCTGCTGGGAGGACAGGCTGAGAGAGCTGGGGGGGTTCAGCCTGGAGAAGAGAAGGCTCTGGGGGGACCTTCAAGCCCCTTCCAGTCCCTCAAGGGGCTCCAGGAAAGCTGGGGGAAGACTCTGGATCAGGGAGGGGAGCCCTAGGAGGAGGGGGAAGGGTTTGACCCTGAAAGAGGGGAGATTTGGATGAGATCTCAGGCAGAACTTCTTTGGTGTGAGGGTGGTGAGAGCCTGGCCCAGGTTGCCCAGAGAAGCTGTGGCTGCCCCATCCCTGGAGGGGTTCAAGGGCAGGTTGGAGGGGGCTTGGAGCAACCTGGTCTGGTGGGAGGTGTCCCTGCCCAGGGCAGGGGGTGGCACTGGATGGGCTTTAAGGTCCCTTCCAATCCAAACTATTCCATGATTCTGTGATTCATCACTGAGACCTTAGAGTTGTGTGCCAGGAAAGGGTATTTATTCCCTTTTTGGGTGATAATCCTTATGGCTGTTGGTAGCTTCAGAGTGGAACCAGTTGAGAAAATGCTGTGGGTTACAGTTTGACTTTTCTGTATGATTTCTTGTGTGTCTTCCTACAGTCCTGAGTTGTTACCGTTATTTTAAAGTGAGTCTTTCATCTGGCATGTAAGGAGCCTGGCAGTGGTGTTATAAAGGAATTGAGTTCTGAGGATGGCAGTGCTTTGTTAGTTTTCTGAGAATGTACCTTTTGCTCTGAGAAACCTGAGATTTCAGTAGTCTTGTCTACTCTATTGTCTGAGGCTGGAATAATATGGAAACCTCAACAGCATCCGTTCATTTCTAAGATCCTGGTTTTGGTTCAGCTCTATTTGCGATAAATCAGCAACTCGGCTTCACACAAACTCTTGAGACAGCAGCATAAAGCTACTTGTTTGCTCCCTTTTGTCTTAATTAGCAGACTTTGTTGTAAAGAACTTCCAGGCTTTCCCAACAGCGAGAGAGAAGGAAAAAAAAAAACCAACAACCCCAAACTGTAAAATAAAGCCTTACTCTCAGCCTACTTTGTAGCTTGTGCTTTTACCAGCTGTTACAGTTAATTGGAATCAGAGGAATTGTTTGCTCAAGTAGTGTAGAAATCTGTAACCGCCTCTGTTTCTCACTAGACTTTTATTCTCCTTTAGAGAAATGTACAGGTTTTTGGTAATTAAAGTCTCTGTATTATAAAACGATTTAAACCACTGTGTTTCTAGGTATAAAACTGGTGAGAGCGTGCCGTCTTAAAAGAAAAAAAACACTTTACTGGGATATAGAGATTCTGCTTATTTAAGATTATTATTGATATCTGGCTCTGGCTCGGCTCCTGCTTACTTTTAACATGCCTTTTGGATTGCATCCTGCAGGTATTTTGAAGGTGGAGTCTCCTCTGTCTACCTCTGGGATCTGGATCATGGTTTTGCCGGGGTGATCCTCATTAAGAAAGCTGGAGATGGATCAAAGAAGATTAAGGGATGCTGGGATTCCATCCACGTGGTGGAGGTTCAGGTACAGCCTCTGGGGCAGCTGATATTCCTAAGTGAAAACAAAACCCAGTTAATTCCAGACAATTAACGAGCACAGGTGTTCCACTGAACAATGCAATATTGTGTTAGGGGCTGTAAACTTCTTTCCCCTGTTAATTTTTGAAAATTCCCTGAAGCAATTTGGATAGAGATAAGTCAGGGCTGTAATCAAAAAAGAATCCCAGAAGAATTGAAAGTATGTTACTTTGTGCATGCGATCCTGAGATGTTTTTTTTTAACATAAAGGTCTACAGATAAATATCACTAATTAGGTAATAAAAACAAGGTAATAGGAGGTTAAATTGCTCTAACTAGATTTGCTTTGGAAAATTAGGGGAATATGCACACTTAGAATTGATTTTAAGAAACAGACTGTGCCACATGAGTGGAGTTACACGTGTCTGTCCTGTCGCTGGTAGGGTCTTTGGGACCAGCCACTGTTTAGTTTTTGGAGGGATTTTAACCTTTTGTCTATTTTTTTTTGTTATCCTTCCACTTCTAGGAGAAATCCAGTGGTCGTACTGCTCATTACAAGCTGACCTCCACAGTGATGCTGTGGCTGCAGACTAATAAAACTGGTTCTGGTACCATGAACCTTGGAGGGAGCCTTACCAGACAGGTACGTCTGTAGACCGGTGCGAGTGCTCGCTGCAGACCCAAGGCGTGTTTTCCTTGTTTATATGCCCAGTAGCTCCAGTCAGGAACAAAAAAAAGTTGCTTTTGTGAGGTGTTGTATAAACATCTATTCTTCTGCTGCGTATGCAGTGAAACAGTTAATGCGTGAGTGTGTAATTACCAGGAAGCCCCTTGAACTTTGCTTGATGGCAGTGGAGCTTTCAATTAAAAATATAAAGCATTCAGTGAGAGTTCAGGCTTGCTTTTAAGTCTTAGTTTTTCTTTTGGTATTCCTGAGTTTTTAGACTTCCATATGCGTTACCCAGAGAGATATTTTTAGCTGTAAGATTTGCCCACTTTCATACTGGAAGATTCAAAAAGGATTATAAAACTATAAGATGAGCTCCTTTGTTATTTCTCTCTTTTAAAAGCCACCGTGAACGAGCCTGTTTTTCTCATGGACAATAGGATTCTTCTGTTCTTAGAGACTTCAGTGATCTTTTAGTGTCCTTCTTTAGTCTTTTCCTCCTGCAGTACCAGGGCATTGATTTTAAAAAAATCTAAAAAAGAAAATAAATTAACTCTCTTCTAAACATTTGGGGTTTTTTTGGCCGTGTTAATGACTTTGAGTTGCTCTTGAGAGCGCTGGTTTGTCACGAGGAAGGTGCCAGACTGCTGACTGCTCAGGCACTGCTGCTCTCTTAGTCTCTGCCAGGCAGGATCTGCTGGACTTGACTTCCCTGGGGGAAGGAGCTCCTGCCCCAACCACCTGCCAGAGGTTCCCATCTCCTTCATGGCCCTGCTGAATTGCGGTTCTTTTAAGATCTGGGCTGTGGAAGTCAGTGACTGGAGCAGAGTAATAAACTCTGGAGGACAGGAGGCATATTGTCCGGTCATGAGTGACTGGAGAGATTGGCAGCAGCTAAAACTCCTTTATGAGACTTCCCAGGGCAGACTCTTGCTTTCGATACAAAGGACAATGCAGACTCTGTTAAGCAGTTTGTGTTTTTGTACAGGTTTGAGCCAGGCGAAGGAAAGAAGGATCTGTGATTGCAGGGAGGAACTGGAATTGTGTTGGTGTTGCAGGCGCAGAAGCTCGCCCTAAGACCTGGGTGACTTTTCTTTCCGCGTTGTTGATTTACAGAAGAAGCTGATGGAAAAGCAAGGGAGTGGGGAGGGGAAAAAAAGGCATCTGGAGACTGTTTTGAGCATTGCGTACTCTTGTCAAATGTTTGCAGTAATTACACCCCAGTTAGGGTGACCCGGACAAATATTTAATCACAGGCCTTCCTAATACTTTAAATCACAGCTGTGAAGTGGAGGCCAAGGGCTTGACTCTGGCCGTGGCCTCCCGATGCACGAGAGCCCGTGCCAAGGAAAACAGGAGTCTGCTGAGAACGGGTGTCCTCAGTACACCTTGGCCTGGACGGCCAGGCCTTGTTTAGTTTGACTTTCACTCTCGAAGCTTTCGTGGGGGAGATTCATGCTTCTGTCATCATTTTAACAGCAGATCATTTAATTCAGCTGTGATGCATTAAGGCAGGGGCCTGCTTCCAATGTAAGTAACCATAAAACAGCCACTGGGGTAATGATGCACTGCTTCTGCACAAACAATGGAAACTTGAGTTTCAGAATTGAGCTTTGGGCTGGAGATTTTCTCTTTGTGGATGCCATAGAAGGCTTCATGGGATGGGCTTCGTCAGAATCCACAGCAGAAGACAAAAATCTCCGCGCTGCCTCGAGGTGTGCTGTGTGAGGAGGAGCTGTTTGTCCTGAGCCATTTCTTTAGCTGGAGCTGGACTAAACTCCTGAGAGCAAGGCTTTTATTCTGCTGTAAATCCAGTTTGTCATATCACCTAAGGACAGCAGGTTTTATTTCTACTCTTTGGTAGGCTTTTTATATAGTCTGCAGCAAACTTTGGCCCCTAAAGTAGGTTTTGGTAATCTCTGGAATGGTATGTTATAGTTTTAGCTTGATGATATCAGTAATCTGATGTCCTAACCACTATTTTGAAATAATTTTATCCATAGTAAATTGTACACGGTTTTGGTCAACTCAGTGTTTAAGCTACTTGACCACCTTTGATCCTAAAATGCGAATAGCAGATGGTCTGGTGTTTCAGTGGAAGCTTTTGAAGTGGTCACAAGCTTTGTAACATCCTGGCTTGTAAACCGATGGCCAAGAGAACCTTTTGGTGCTTTGAAAAGGAAAGTCATACACTGAGAAATGCTATATCTCTTCCAATTTGTGGAACTATTGCTGTTCAGTGGCTTTCCCAATGTGGTTTTTCGTGTGCTACAACAGGAGTTGTCTCTGTTTATAAGTGGGAAGTAACTCTACAAGTATTTTATATTTGTAAGTTGGACAGAATAAGGAAAGAGGAAGAAACATGCCCCATCCCTGGAGGGGTTCAAGGCCAGGTTGGAGGGGGCTTGGAGGGACCTGGTGTGGTGGGAGGTGTCCCTGCCCAGGGCAGGAGGGTTGGAACTCAATGATCTTTAAAGGTCCCTTCCAACTCTAACCATTCTGTGATTCTGTGGTAGATGGAGGACTCTGCCTGGTTTGGGAAGCTGAAAATTTCCTTTGTGTACAGTAGATGGAGGACTCTGCATGGTTTGGGAAGCTGAAAATTTCCTTTGTGTAGCTTTAATTTACTTGACCTGGTGTTTTTGAAAATGGTAACATCAGGCTTTTGCTTTATCAGTTCAATTATTGAAGTTGTTTTCAAAGAGACAGAGTATAGACTAAATAAAATAAAATGGCACGTGGTGTGTTCTGAATGGAGTTTGGGATTTTGATGTTGTTTAAAATGTAGGATTTCAGATTGTGACCTGATCTAATAGAGAAATGTTTGTGTGTACACATAGGTGTACACCACAAACACATACATATAGTGATACATATTTATTTAAATAACTTACATATATGCATAATTGATTTATATAGCTGCATGTATAAACTTTTATCTTAAGAGGATGAGCAAAATTCTTAGCCAGCTCCATGCACGTAGGATCCATAGATCACAGTTTTGTTCTGAAAACTTGGGAGATTTAAAGCTGAAGTGACATCGTCACATTGGACTTTGCATTAAACCTTTGTTGAAGTAGATTTTTTTGTGTGGAGGAACAGTTGTCTCTTTGCCTAGTGAGGGTTTTGTTCTAATCTTTAGTGATATATGTTGTTATACATAAATAGTGACACAGTGCATGTAGCCATCTCTGTTTGACTCCAGAGGACATCATAGAAGAATTTTTTGGTGGAACTGGAAGGAGAAAGCTGATTTTTTTTTAATCACTTTTTCCCTTGTTCTTGTCCTTCCCCAAGAGGAATGCAATGTCAGGTAGAGAACTTCTATTTTTACAATTTCCTAAACAAGGCTGGTCTTCCAGACAGTCTGTTCTGGAGACGAGCCTGGATGCAGCTCAGGAGAGCTCAGGGTTGAAGCTCCTCGGGCCAGGATGGAGGAAGTGACTCCCAGCTCACGTCCGACGCTGGCAGGATTCAATCAATACAGGGACTTGAGGCTGGAATTTGGGTAGGGAAGGAGTGACCAGGGTGTTTTATAGTGTCTGCCTTGACGAGGGGCCGCGGGTTGAAGTGCTGTACGTCTGAGAGGAAAGGACAGGACGTGCTACCTTCAATTTACAACCAAAGGAGCAGCGCTTGCAGGGAAATGAGAAATGCCAGCAGCTTTTCAATTACCTTGCACGTTCTCCAGTGACTGCAGGTAACTCCCACCCCCTCCTGATCCAAGCCAGATGCTTGGCAGATGATTTTCTCCCCGACAGACGTTAAGGTCCCGTCCTCTTTGTGTACATTGGAATGACTTGCGTCGTTTGCCGCGGCGCTGTATTGCTTTGGCTGAATTTTGAGGTTTCATTAGGCAGCACTTTTATTTAAGGTAAGAGCAGCTGTGTGATCCTGTTTCATTTTATGCAAAGTGGATGTAGCTTTCCCCTTTTCTGGCAAATAGTCAAAAGTGCACTTTGTAGGACAGATTTCCCCCCCCCCCCC